GGCCAGGAGGACGCGGAGGAGGTGCGTAATGGGGAGGGGGCGGGGGCGTTGGGCGGGGCTGTGGGAAGGGGCGGGGCCTGGAGCAGTGGGAGGAGATGGATCATGGGGTGGGGCTGCGAGGAGGGGGCGCGGAAGGTGGGCGAGCAGGGCGCAGGTCTGTGGCGCTCACCGTGCTCGATCTCGCCCTCGCGCTCCGCCAGCTGCTCGAAGTCGCGGATGATGGCGCGGGCCGCCAGGTGGTGGAAAGTCTCGCTCCACAGGTCGGCGTCGCGCGCGCCGCCTGGCTCGGGGCCGGGGGGCCCCAGCTCGAAGCTCACCTCCCACTGCAAACGTTGGCTGTCACGCAGGCCTTTGACCACGGCCTTGCCCAACACCGGGCCTGGGGTGGCGGGCCTGCCGGGACTGGCCTGCTCCTCGGACTCAGCCGGGGGCTCCCAGTCCGAGGACGTCTCCATTTCGAAGGCGGAGGGGTGATGGGACGGCTCTGCGGGCAGAGGGACAAGCAGTTGGTGCTTTGATCTGGGGGACAGAGTTCAATCCACAGGGAACATCGTCCCTCCCTGGGCGCAGATACACCTAAGCAAGTACAGTCCCCCCCAAGGAACTGACAACTTCCCTAGGACAGCTGGGGTGGCAAGGGTTTGTTCCCAAGAGTGAGACAGACTGCCTCCCAGGAATCTGGTACCTGGCGGGGTCAGATAGGGTGCGGTGAGAATACAGCTGCAGGGAGGGTATCTGGGAGCCCCAGAGGCAGCCGAAGGACCAGGTTAATTGGGAAAGAGGGGTTGGTGAGGTCCTGGGGAGGGATGGGCTACAGCAGACCCCGCCCCCCTCCATGATCTCCCCCTCCCCCCGCCAAGGGCACAGACGCAGGCCTCTGCCCTTGGGCCTGTTATCTGAAGCTAGGCCACAGCCAAAGATTCCTCCCTGTCCCCAGTCAGGTCCCAGACCCTGCGGGCACTTACCCAGGTCCCCAGGGCTGTGGCTGTCTGAGGCAGGCTTCAGGCCGGACCCAAGATCCAGCTCTTTCATGGGGCTCCGGGGCTGAGTGTCCTGGCCAGAGGACTGGCAGCCTTGGGGCAGTAGTGAGGGCCTGCGGGCCCCTGGGCCCCGGAGTTTGGGGCCCTGGCTTAGGCCTGGGCCACTGGACAGCAAGAGCTAGGAGTGCAAGAGGAAGGGGAGGAAGCTGAGCTCCTGGTGGCTGTCCCTGTCTCTTCACCCCCAGCCACAGCTCCTCCCTGGGCACTGCCTCTGCAGGACTAAGGACACATGACCTACTCTTCGTTACCCATGAGAAACATCAACACGAATAATTCCAAACCATGGATGAAGTCCAGACCGCAAAAAAACATGGAAAATCACATACCATGGATAATTCTAAACCCACTTTTTTTTTTGCCATAACATTTAAAACTTTTATGGTGTGTGTGGTTAAAATTATCAGTCTTTTCCCTTATGTCTTCTCATATGGCATGCTTAAAAAGCCTTTCCCACACAAAAAATTCTAGAATTTTTGTGATCTTTTTGTTTGTTTAAATCTTTGATTCACATAAAATTTATTTTGGTGTAAGGAAATAGGGACCAGCCTTTTTCTTGATTTCCTGAATAGTGCAAATCTCAACACCATTTATCGAACGCAGTTTATTCATTGCGTCCCTACGGTTTATCATTTCTCCATTTCTATCCCGACGAAGCTCTCATGTACATTTGGTTTTATTTCTGGACTTTCTGTTCTGTTTTGTGGATTAAATCTGTCTATTCTTGTGCTGGTACAAAAAACATCAAAAGGCAAGGGATAAACTGGGAAATATATTTGCAACACGCATGACAAAGATCATTTTCAAGAAAATGCTCTTATGAATCATGGTGGGGAGGGAGATAAACAATAGAATAATGGATTAAGGGCATACAGGCAGTTCATAGAAAAAGTATCCAATAAGCCCGTGGAAAATACTCAGCCCTGTGAGAAATTAGAGCAATCTAAATTAAAATGTTACAATTTTTTTTTTCCATTTGGCAGATTGGCAAATATTTAAACGTTTGAGCAGTGTGGTCAATGGGCAGACAGTCTCTTATGAACTGTTGGTGGAAGTGTACACTGATGCATACTTGTGGGAGAAGAATTTAGCAATGTGCTAGCAACATTAAAAATGCACAGGCTCCTTTTACCCAGCGATTCCACTTTTAGGAATTTAACTCTGTGGAATTTATTCGTCTATGTGCACGTACTGTATATTTGTTTCAGCATCGTTTGTAAAAGTGAAAATCTGGAAACTATCTGAATGCGCATCATTACAGGTTGACAAATAAATGATGGTACATCCATGCGATGGAACACCACACAACACTGAAAAGAACGAGGCAGCTTTCTGCATACCAATATGGGAAGATATCCAAGATAAAACTTATTTTTAAAAAGTAAATTGCAACTGTTCTGTATTTTGATTGTGGAGATAGTTACATGACTATTTGCGTTTGTCAGAACTCATAGAACTGTTCACCAAAAAGAGTAATTTTACTATATATAAAAAAAGTGAATTAAAAAGATTTAAAAAATTGGAGAGCAGGTTATGCATGTGATTATTCAAAACATATACATGTGTTGCGCGTGTGCGTTTGTGTGTGTTTAGTATTTCTTGAAGGAGACACTCAAACCAAGTGGATCTGGGCACAGGGGAGGGGTACTTTTATTTTTACTTTATACCCTACTGAATTGTTTGAGGATTTTTATTGCAAACTCTGAGTGTGTATTACTTTTGTAATTAGAGAATGTTAAATTAATTAAAAACGAATTTTGTGCCTCTGGGAATATATACATCTCCTGGTAGGGGCAGGGAGCAAACGCACTTACTAGGTATAACAGACAGAAAAAGTGCCTTTCAGTCTTTCAGGCCAATAGTTAACCATGGGGTCTTTTTCATCTCTATCAAGTATTTATTGGGAAGAGGACTGTGCCTCCGCATTGGATGGGGGCTCCTTGGGGCAGGAGCTGGGGTCTTTCTTTCTGTCTCCTTTGGGTGTGAGGTCCTGGGAATAGTACAAGAGTATGGGAGAAGAAAGGGACTGGTCACTCTTAGGATGGCCTCACTGGGAGTGGTACCCAGCCAGGGCTGCTGGGTTGCAGGGAATCCTTAACCCCCCTCCCACATCAGAGCCTGGGAGTCCCTCCACCCCTTCCCCCCTGTCACCACTGCACTGAGAAACAGAAACAGGTTAGTCTCAGATTCAGCCCTTCATCCAGTCAGGGGCTGCAAGGGAGTGTGTATGTGTGTGCAGGTGCATGTGTGTGCGTTAGCACGAGTGTGCTGGGGAGACTCAGACCCGGAAGAAGCCAAGCATGGGACAGAGATGAGCAAAGATGGGCCAGAAGCACGCAGGAAAGAAGAGAAGTCAAGCTGCCCAGAGCTCTCACCAAGTAGAGCTGCATTTAAAGGACGTCTACTGTGTGCCAGGTGTTGCATCAGGCACTTCATCTCTTAGCAGCTGATGCTTGCAAGAGTCCACCACTTAGCGTTGGCTCCCAATAAATATCTGTTGATGGCTGTTAGCTCAATCATTGGCGCAAGCTATTTTCCCATCTCATAGATGAAGAAATTGGGGCTCAGAGAGGTTAAGCAATATGTTTGAGGAGCTGAGTCTGCCTGACTCCAAGGTCAGTGTCTTCCAACCGTGAGTAGTCCCTGGCTAGGCACGGAGAAGGCCTCGGGGACGAGGTGGCAGTGTTTCCATCCTTGGGGAGTGTAGGGGCTCATGCGTATGTGCAGGCAGGGAGGGAGGGCTGGTGGGTGGAGTGGGAGAGTGAAAGACTGTTTTCATGGAACCACAGACTCATAATGACAAAGGAACATAAAGTCCATTCTTAAGAAAATGGGCTAAAGCATACAGATAACATCAACCCCAATTTAGTTTAGGACAGCGTTTCTCAATCTGGGATTTTGCCCCCTTCCCCAGGAGACGTTTATCGGTGTCTGCAGACCTTTTTGGTTGTTACGACTGGGGGTGGCAGTTACTGGCATTCAGTGGATAGAGGCCAGGGATGCTGCCAAGCAGTCTACATGCGCAGGACAGCCCCCACAACAAAGAGTTATCATGTCAATAGTGCTGAGGCTGAGAAACTCTGGTTTAGCTGCATGGCAGATGACTGGTCCTGCTGTGGCTCTGACTCTGAGATGATCTCTGCCCTGAGTGAATGCACAACTCTTGGGATTTGCAGAAGGTGTAATTTGATGGAAGCAAGGGAGGAAGCAAGGGTTTTGCAGGCAAAAGGTCCTGGGTTGCAATTCTATGATTGGCTGTGTGACCCTGGATAGGTTATTTTACCTCTCTGGCCCTGAGTTTCCACATATGTAGAGAATGGGGATAGCCAGCCCTCACAGTCCCTCCTTTCCCAGGGGTGCTGTAGAATCAAGTGAGAATGTAGATGGGGATGCTACTTGCCAACTGGGAAGTGCTGTGTGCAGAGAGTGGGTAATGTCATCGACCAATGGGGATCATTATTAGGAAAATGTCATTGGGGGTCATGTAGGTGAAGCTCCAGAAAAAGGAGGAAGAAGGGACTCACTTCACAGTGTAAGTCGTGGCCCCATCCTTGTGGTCAAAGCAGGAGACACAGCTCTCCCTTGTCCGTGACCTCCCCCAGCTCCAACCTCTCCAACCTGCCCTGCTCAGGTACCTGCAAATCAATCTGCCGCGGAGGGGCATCCAGGCTGGTCTGGTTGGTGAGGTCCTGCAGCTTGGCTTTCCTCAGTGGGTATCTCCTGGCAGCCACCGTGGGGTCGCTAGCTGTGGGGGCCCTTGGCGAGGGCTTGTGGTTGGTGATCTGGTTGGTGCTATATGCCCGCCGTCGCTGGCAGAGGTCTAAACCTGGGCAGGGATGGTGGCAGGCGAGCCATCAGGGTGGAGGACAGCAGGGAAAGAGAGGGATTCGCATAACCCTTTCCTGCTTGGACATTTCTTGAATTTTCCACTGTTTGCTTGCTGAAATATTTGCAGGTGCCCCACCTTACCTGGCATTCAAAGCCTTGCCTAATCTGGCCCTGATCTACCTCCCCAGCTACTCTCCTTTCTGTTCCTTTTCCAAGGTATTACGTGCTCCAAACATGATGAGTAACCAGTTGTGTGTGTCTTTTCTAGGCATCACACCTCCACATCTTTGCTCAGGCAGTGTCTGCTGCCTGGAATCTCCTCTCCCTTCCCACTTCGAAGAACCAATGCCCTCATTATGTCTCTGTTGATATCCTCTACCAGATGTGCCTTTCTCTGGGATCCTCACAGTTTGTTAAACTTTCCTGTGGCAGCGTCACTCTGCTTTCTATCAGAGTTAAGATCAATTGTGTTTCTCTCACTGGATGGAGGGCTTATGAAGGACGAGTGCCATGTTTGAGTCATCTTTGCTTCCCCCACTGCGCTAAGCACCCAGCCTTACTGGGTGATAAGTGAATGCCCTCTGAATGGAAACTAACACCATAAAGAGGCTTTGGAGGCAGACAGGTCTAGATATTTTATCTATACTCTATGTCTTTCATGTTCCATGAGTTTAGCCAAGTTGCTTAAATTCTGCAAGTCTCAATTTCCTCATCTGTAAAATAGGTGTAATGGTATCCATCTCTGCAGCTGCTGACTATTCAATGAGATTGTTTGTATAAAGTGCTTAGCACATAGCAATTGCTGGGTAAAATGGAGCAGTCGTGGCCGCCTTGGAGAAGGGAGTGAAGCACAAAGAGCAGCAGACTAACCAGGATTGGTGGCTGAGTCTCCACTGGACGACCGGGCATCTTTGGCTTGCCTCAGGTTGAAGGGTGCCTCCAAGCTCTTGGGACAGTCTCTGCTGTCCGGGCCAGGCCCCTCCTGTGATTGGTAGAAGACAGAGCTGCCAGACTCCTGAGAGTGCAGCATGCTGTACCGTCTCCTCTTGTCCTGGAGGGAGGGAGAGAGAAGAGGCCTGGGAGTGAAGCTAGATGTCAGGAAGGACATCCACAAGACAGCGAGGAGTGTGAGAGGAGGCGATGGACGTGCCATGTTTGAAGAATCAGGATAATGGGAAAGTTTTTTGCTTGCTTGGGGAATTCAGGCAGACTTCTGTTTAAGAGGTGATGAATGGAATTGACTTTTCATATCACTTATATTGTTTATATTTTTAATTATCTTATTTAATTTAAAAAACATACAATTCTAAATGCCACTGCTGTCTCCAAATAGGTAACCAAAATTAACAAAATGAACCATCTCTCCCTTCCATTCCATTTTCCATGACATACACATACATATAAAACATAAGAGCTTTTGGGGGTCATCATTTGTTTTACAAAAACTGGACCACGTTACTTACATTTATTGGTATCTTGAATTTTTCACTTAAAGCATTTTGGAAATCCTGCATGTCGGCAATTTGACGGCACGATAGTCTCCCATCCCTTATTGTTAAGCAATCACTTTGTGGCCGTTTATTTTTATCACCATAAAAAATGTTACAATAAATCCTTGGACATAAATTGATTACATCACTTTTATTTCTATGTATTAGCATTTTTGGAGGGATTTCTAGGTTCAAAAGTTATGTATTTCTAATTTCATTAGTTATTTCTAGATTGCTTTCTAGAAAAGGAACAAGTCATGTTTACACCAACAATGTACAAGGGTACCCTTTACCCAAAAGCCCTACTAGTAGTGGGAGAAAACTTTGCTAGTCTCGCAGGTAAGGAAAGGAGAATGGGTTTGGTGGTCCCTTCTAGTGGTAGGGTCTGTTGATGCTCTACTGCCTGCCAGACCTCCAAGAAGGGCCTAGATTGTTCAAAGACTTGGCCAGCATTACGCCTGGCACTTTTTTCCATGCAGTTGAACTCTCCACTCTCCATAACACATTAACCATTACTGACCATAGTTTTTAAGAGATTCCATAACATTCTGAAATCTGGAAATTTCACATAAAATTCTAACTTCTTTTGAAAGAATGGAAACACGTTTAACCCAGGGTTTACATTCCTGCATGGCAACAGTTTTTTAGAGCTCAGTAGGGCCTGCCCGAGTTAGACAGGGCATGTACGATCCAGTTTGCCATATTCCTCACCACTCCTGTTGCCTCTTTAGGAACTCACTGATAATGGCTATCCCTCATGGCATCCCTTTAATTTTTGCAAGTCCATGGCATTCATTTTATACCTGCCCAATCCCTCTAGGCACTGAGTTTTGACTCCTGCTTAAAAACAAAACAAGACAATAAATCCTTCAAGGGGAAGTGGAGAGACTGACTAAAGAGGGAAGAAGGATGAGGAACTAGTTTCTCAGGCAATCTCCAACATTTTAGCATGAATTCTGCCTCCCTTCGAGTTCTTTACTTTTATCCCACTTATGCCACCACGTATGAGAGAATTATTCATGTAAATAAATAAAACACAAACTCGTCTAAGGAGATATGACCTGAATAGATTGTTTAGGGAAAGAAACCTGAGTGCAGTTGTTTTGAACTGAATTATCAAAATTGGTTTGGGGAAATTATGTAAAATGCAGGTTCCGTGGGCCTTACCCTCAGAGATTTTTATTCAGCAGACTGGGGTTGGAGCTAGAGCTCTGCATTTTAAATGTGTTCCCCAAGTTCTTCTGCTGCAGGTGATCTTGAGAACCACCTATTGAGATTGTAGCATTTACCCAAGCAGTGTCACCAGACCGAATGCCCATGACTGGCAACCACACCCCACAACTGTAAACCCAGATGCAATTAGTTCCTAGCTGCTGTAAATAGTCTTTCCAGCTAAGGATGGCTTTATGGGCAGGGTTCTGGGTCCCCATTGACCCCTAGAATTTCTAAGATACTTACAGATCTGGGGTTGGAGATGTATAAGGAGGCATCACACACAATGCCATAACCCACCAGCCGTTCTCCAGGGAAGAGGGAGCTGGTGCTGACAGGTGAGATCAGGACCTCGGTGGTCTCAGGGAAGACCCACTCCACAGTCACATCACTCAGGACTGGGGCCATGGCCTTCTTCAGGGATTTGACCATCTGTTGGGCAGGTCAGAACACAGGTTGGGGGGATGTGTGAGCACGCGCATGTGCGGATGAGGAGCATGAAGACCCTGTGAGTATGAGCATGGTAGGATGCAAGCACGGAAGAAGGGACAGTAGGCCTTGGGGTGGCTTGCCCAGCAGTGAACATCCTTCTAAGCTTTTTAGACTCCTGGGATGTCAGACTTGGAGCAGATCTTAGCTGTCGTCTTCTCTAAGCTCAGCGTTTTATAAATGAGAAAATCCAAGACTTAAGTAGGGCTGTGACTAGCCCAGGGGACACAGAAAGTTTGTGTCAAAACATGGACTGGATAGTGACATTGAGCAAGTTAATTTGCCTTCCCGGGCCTCAGTTTCCCCTTCTGTTAAAGTGAGTTAGTAATTCTCAACTCTTGGTGTAGTTGGGAGGACTAGCCGAGATACTAGATTTGAGGTATCTGCCACATGATAGGTGGTCAATAAATGACAGCTGTGGTTTAGCATCTCCCAGGCTGATCTCCTCAAATGTGCTACAAAGCTGGAGAAAAATGATTTGGGGATTGTGCAGCCACAGAGATGCATCCTCAAATCTCCCTTCAAGAGAGACTGTGTCCTTTTCCTGCAAGGAATGCAGTCAGGCGACAGTCTTCAGAAGCAGTGCCCCGGCTTTCCAGCCAACATCACACCTCTCCCTGGAAGCCCTCAGGCCATGACTGAGCATGGCAGGGATACCAGTGCCTGACATTTCAGCCCAACACAGACTACCTGCTGGGAACTCTTTGCTCCAGAGCTTCCCTTTGGGCCAGCTGAGACCCTGCCAGATCTGCACTGCAGCCTGAAGTGCTCCCTGCCCAAACCTGCTTTCCTCCTTTCCTTTCATAGGCGTTGCATCTGCCTCATGGACTTAAGAGTTTTCCTTCCTGGTTCTTCCCATTTTCTCTTTCACAGACATCGTCTCCCAATAAACCTCTTGCGCTCTTAACCCTAGCTCTGTCTCTGGTTCCTGGAGGACCTGGACTGACAGGGGGGTTTCCAAAGGGTTGGATTATTTGTGCCAATTGTGCAGGAAATGGAGAAAAGACTCTAATCTCCTTGATTTCTGGGCCTTTTAGATTCTTCTGAGCCACCATTTGTCATCATCAGGAACATGGCCAGAAATGACCCCAAACACAAATCCATATCCAGAGAGGCAGGGACTCCTTCAGGAGCCCCAGTTCTGCTCAGCCAGTGGATAGCGCGTGGTCCGGTGGCTGAAGACCAGGGGATCCAGTATCTTGTATGAGCTCCAGGGGTCGTCTGCCCTGTGGCCTCCCCCTCTCTGATTCTCACTGGGGTGCAGTGTGGCCCAAGGGAGAGCTCAGACTCGGGGTAAAATCCCAGCCCCACCACTGAGTTGCTGTGTGACAGGTCGGGCCTCTGAGCTTCCAGCAGCAGAAGAGACTCAAGCCCTTGCACATACCTTGGGTTGCAGCCGCTCTCCTTCCGCCAGGAACTCGGCACTGCCCTTGGACACGGTTGCCAGCCCTTTCACCAGTCTGTGGCAGACAGTGGGTCCAATTCCAAAACTATAGCACCTAGGGGAAGGGGAGGACAGAGGCTGCTATGTTCCATCCTTTCTGCCAGCGTTGTCCGCTGATGGAGAAAGGGCCAGAGCATGAGACGGCAGAGCTATCTCAGAGCTGGCCCTAACTGCAGGCAGAGGGCGAGGGAGAAGGAATGGGCTCATCAGTGGACACTCCTATTCACACGTAGGGCCCGTAAACTCGCACCTCAGTACAGAGTCAAAGCAGCAGGCAGGACTTCCTCTCTTCCTCTGCCTAGGCTGCTTTTTGGAAGCTGTATGCAGAAGTGTGGGCATCTCATCCTGAACTTTTGAGGGAAAAAGGCCAACTCTGAAGTCAGCTCCATCATCCTGGAAGCAAAGCACTATAGGATTGCCTCCTCTCCTTCTGGCATTTTCCATGTTGCCCTGTTTCTGGTACCCCCAGCCCAGGGCAGCCCAGGATAACCAAGCCCTGGACCTTCAGCCTGTGCCAACCTGGTGGAGAAGGCGTGGTTTCGCACCAGCTCCAGCACCTTCCCAGTGTTGTTGACCGCCCCGTCTGTGATCAAGAAGAGAAGCCGCGGATGGCCTCGGTGCACTGGCTGCCGGGTGATCCACTTGAGCGGGGAGAGGATGTTGGTGCCACCCATGTCAGCCCTCATTCTCTGGATGTTGTCACAGGCCACGGCCAAGCTCTCCTGCAGTGAAGGGACACAGGTAGGGGAGACAGTCCTCAGGTCACCATATGGCCTGGTGACTCTAAGTACCCTGGGCGACGAGTCCTTTGTTTCCCTAGATAATGGTTCAGCCTCACTGGAGTTGCCCTGTTCCCAATTTCATCTCTGCCCCACACACAGAAAGAATAGCTGGCCACTTATTTGGTGTGATTCTGCCCCATAACACCCCCACCAATGCCTGAAATGCCACCGTTTGTGGTGTATTAACTTATCATTATCCTTTCTGGTTCCTCTTTAAAATATAAACACTCCTAGAAAAGTTGGCATGTCAAACCCTTAATTGCTCAGCACAAATGAGGTTTCCTTTTCTGATGAGGGAGGCAGGCAGTGTGGTAGAAAGTACACTAGGCTAGAAGTCTTAATACCTGAGTCCTGGCCTGACTGTGACACTACATCCGTACGATGCTTTGAGGAAAGCATTTCCCCAAACTGGGCTTCAGAGTCCCTGCCTCCTGCACCAGCGCTGTGAGACCCAACTGGCCAAGGCTTACTGGCACCAGATGGATGTCACTGCAGCAAGGGCAGATTCTCACTGGACATCAGATGTCCTCCTGCTCCGGACTCAGGAAGATGCTCTTCCAACATCCACACTGGGAATAACAACGTGTATCAAAAGTCTTAAGATGTGTATGTACCTTTTGAACGAGCAAGACTAGGAATTCATCCCAGGGGAATTACTAAGGATGCATGCAAAGTCTTTGCTACGAAGGTGACTAAATAGAAACAAATGGAAACAACTTAAATGCCCAACTGGAGGAGTTTAGTTAAATAATTTGCAATCTATCTGTGCAGTGAAATACTAGGCAGCCGTTAAAATTATGTTGCAGGTTAATACCTACTGGCTTGGAAATATGCTCACGATAGACTATTGTGTTGGAAAAGCAGGTTACAGAACAGTATGGAAGGCCTAATCCTATCTTTATTGGAAATGCGTATAAATGTGGATAACAAGATCTGGAGGGATTTTGAGTAAGCCCTTAACAGTGGTTCTTCTTTTTTTCTGACTGATGTGATCATGAGAGATTGAAAAAATTTTCTTTTTGATTATATAGGTCTAAAAATTTGGGGGCAATCATAATGTTATTTTTGTATTTTAAAAACCCATAAAGTTATTTTTAATTGAATAGTGGTCCCTATGTCCTTCCTTCCTTCCTTCCCTCCTTCCTTCCCTCCTTCCTTCCTTCCAGTTCCTAGCCTTGGGTAGGATGCTCTGATTTTGAACATGCTGCTGGGGCCACAGTCCTCTTGTTCCAGATTGTAGCTTGAGCCTGTGAGTTGCATTCTTAGCCCATCTCCATGTCCACTTACCCACCTACTCACTCCCCTACCCCTTACCATTCACTCCTCTGGCTCAGCCTTGCCTGAGTCTATCATTCTCATGAGACAGAGGCTTCAGTGAGTGGGAGGCCTGTTATCCTCTCTACCCCATCCCTGTACCCCCTCTCTGTGCACACTCATACTTTGTCCAACATATTCTTTATTTTAAAGAGGGGTGATGTCAGAAGGCTGAGATGTCAGAAAACTGCCTACACGGAGATAACCCCTTTTTAATTCTCTGTCCCTGGGCATCATCTAGGCTTTATGTGGGTGGACAGCTTCTGAGACAGGCCCCAGGATTATCTCCTCTTTCTTTTTCCTTCCTTTTCTCTTTCCTTCCTTTCCTTCCTCTCTCACCATCCACCCTCTCCTGGTCCCAGTCTTGCCCCCTCCTTACCTCACTGTAGGTCTGACTGGAAGGGAAGAGTGTCTTAAATGTGGATCCAAACCCAATGACATTGAAGAGGCAGGCTGGCATGAGGCTCTTAAGAGCCACCAGCATGGCATCCTGGCAGGCAAGAAAGGGATTTTCAGGATTCGGGAAGGAGTTATACCTCTGCCACCACACGCCAGTATTCTCATCCCAGCACAGAAGAAGCCTGCAAACAGACCTTTTACCCTCTGTCTGTACCCAACCTCACCTTCTCCCCCAGATCGGGAAATTTGCTGATGCTGACCAGCGGCTGCACCAAAGCCATCAGCATAAAACTTCTCATCCATGTAGCAAGTCTGACTTCTCAAAGCCATTCTATTATGGTTTGCCAGTTCCGTTTCACCTCCTGCTGACCCTGAGAGGGAGGGAGAGCAGGGAGCACCCACTCCTTTCTGCCAGAACAAAATTGACATCTAACGGGAGCACGTGGTCTGGTCCAGGTCACACTGGTGATGGAACAGGCTTCTGGCTTTCATCCAAGGCCTTTTGCAGCAGACTCATGCTAACTATCATTAACGAGGGACAGATTTCTTAGGGACAGTCTCTTTAGCTCGTATTTGCTGAATGCCCAAGACGTACTTTACATGCGTTACCCCACGTAATCTTCACAATAGCCCTGAGGCGGGCACAACATCACCCCCACTTTATACAAGAGAAAACTGAGGCACAGAGAAGTGAAGTGACTTGTTGGTGAGCATCCTGATAGTAAATCGTGGAGCCAAGACTCAAACACATGTCACTTTGCCTCCGAAATCTGTGAACATTGTGGAATCTTAACCTGTTTAACTATGCAACACCAAGAGACCTTGATGAAGGTATATTGAAAAAAATAATGACAAAGAGGGGATGTGGAGGAGTGACAGGAGGGAAAATGATGACACCGAGGATGATGACGATGATACAGTGCAATGATAAATGTTGAGTAGTTATTATGTGCCAAACACTGTGCTAAGCACTTTATATTAGTTATCTCATTTGATCTCTGTACCATGTATTATAGCATAATGGTTAAGAAGATACACTTTGATGTTAAACATATCTGGGCTGAAATCTCACCTTCACCATTGCTAACTTGACCTTGGGCTAGTTGGGTCACTCCTCTGAGCCTCATCCTGACACATAGGAAGCATTCAGTAAACGTTTATTATCACCAACCCAGTGAAATACATATTACTATCAATACCTCTGTTTTACAGGTAAGGAAACTGAGGCTCAGAGGGTTAAGGAATTGCACTGGATAACAAAACCTAAGAACATGACTGAGGCTTTCAAAACATAGCTCCGAGATCTTTATTCATGTTGGCTCTGCCTTGGCGTGGAGCTCAGGAATGAGGAGCTCTCCCGTATGCCCATATAGTTTATTGATAGCATCTCAGCATCTCAGCATCTCAGCATGGCTTCAGGCAAACAAACTGTTATACTCCAGAATATAGAAGAAAACAGTCACAAGTGGATCCTGGCAATTTCCACACCATACGGCCTTCCAGGACCCACAGACCTGCAGCCCCTTTCCCATCCTCCTCTGTAAACATTAACATTAAACATTAGCATTAACATTCTCTCTGTCTCTCCTTGTTGTTTGTGTCAATACATTTTGTTTTTCTGCAAAAGAAGTCAATATCTGCTTGTTTTTTCATTAGCCACTAACGTATATTCCTGCTAGCAGGAGACTCTGCTGATCCATTCAGATTGTCTCTGCTCACACCTATTAGAATTTTTAAAGCCATGTTTATGGCAGCAAGTGGCAGCTGAAGAATGAGACCAGCTGCAGGAAATTAAATTGGCTGAACTTTCCCCTTTGGCATGACTGTTTGGATTTTTGCTCTGTCCTGCCTCCCTAAGCCTAGTTTTTCGTAAAACTCCAACATAATGGGCCACAATTAGTGAGTGACCCAAGCAACGCCCAAATGGCCTCATTGTCAGTGGGGAAAGGGGTGTGTGGCCTGAGTAATTTCTGTGCTTTCTCTAACAGGGGCGTGTGTAGCAGAATGGATTGTGCCAATGCAAAGCCATTTGTGAAGGGATGACCTTAAGCTCTGTGAGCTGAACTGGAAAAGAGAGCAAGAGAGACTCCATGGGGAAAGAGGCTGAGAGGAGAGCCAGAGGGAGTTATTGTCAGAGAATTCTGGAATGTAAAGGTTGGAAAGGTCTTTAGTTCAGGAAATGGATTTCCACTCATAAACCAACTCCATTTAACTGGTAGTAATTGCCTGGAACACAAGATGAGAAGAGACTGAGTCCAGACTCAGCATGAAAAAAAATGTCGTGGTCTGTCATTGATGTCTGTCTGGGCTTGGGAGAGGGGAACAGAGGAACATGTGACATATGTTTGCCCTCCCTGAATTAATCCTTTCTTTTCACTTTACAGAAAGGATAAATGAAGCCCAGAGTTGAAAACCAACTTGTCCAAAGCCACATAGCAAGTGAGTGGCAGACTTGATCCTGGAACCCAGGCATTGCCCTTTCCACTAAGCCATGCAGCAGAAATGGCATAATCAGAGAAGAGAGCTTTTCTTAGTGGAAGAGAATTATAATTCTCTATCAGTAAGGTAAGGAAAATGAGCACTGAACCAAGATATGGAAGGCTTAGGCTCCCTCACTAACCCTGTGACAGTGAGAAAAACACTTAAGTTCTTGGGGACTCAGTTTCCTTACCTGAAAAATGGATTAAATGCTCTCTGGCAGATGCTTTGGGTTTATGATCCCATGATTCTTTAGAGTAACTGAAGATACGTCTTACAAATTGATACAGCTATGGAACGGAATGGAATACACACGGCCACACAAACCTAGAGCATGCTTCAGTACTCCAGCACTATGGACAGCTCCCCATTCCAATTCCTGTCTTTGATGGCGGGCCAGATGGGGAAAGGTATTAATTAGTCCTGCATCCCAGTGTCAAGAGGAACTCGGGTCTCACATGATTGCTCTGCCATACTTCAAGACAAAACCCAGTCGTGGCAAGGCTGAGGAGTTAGCTGTCATCACAGATCCCGCTAACCTCTCCCCTCTTTGCTGATCCTGTTGTCCTGGAAACAAGAGTTTGCTCCAGGGACAAACTAGTGGAGCGGATGAAATTTCATTTGACAGCAGAGCCCTCTCCCTTTTTGTTGATGAGGATCCCTCGTTTTCTTGAACTACGATCCTTTACCTGGTTCAATAAACAGCGACTGAGGGCTTTCTATGCGTAAGCACAGAGCAAGGCCCCACGGGGAGAGGTAGATGAGGAAGACATGATTCTTCCCCCTAATGAACTCGTAACTCCAGAGGAGGAGACAGACATCTACACAACTAAAAATACAAAGGGGAGTTGGAAAATGCCATAATAGAGGTGAATAATCTCCTGAGGGAGATGAAACGTCTCTGGATATGTAGGGGGAAGGTTTTATCATTCTTTCTTCTGCACTCCTTCAGAAGTCTCCACTGCAACAAGACCATGATCCCAGGCATAATTTAGTAGCAGGACTGTGCCCGTTACTTGAGTGTGAGCTCCTTGAGGGTAAGAACTATGTTTATAACCTCCTTTCTTTCCAGATGGGCAAGCACAGGGCTTTGCACATATTAGGCATTAAAAAAAAGGATGAACCAAATCTTTTCTACTAGATTCTACCCATTCATTGATATCAGGGGCCATCTCCAATGAATCTCTGATGCCAGGTGGTAGTGATAGTTAGACAGACATGGGTTAAATCTTAGGCCACACTAGCTGTGTGACCTTGGGTAGGTCACTGAAACTCTCAGGATGGGTTTTCCCATTTGGAAAATGTGACAATAGGACCGAGCTCATGGGCTTGTCTGGATTAAACATCAAGCTGTGCATTAAGTAGTAGGCACAGTGTCTGGCATGCAGTAGGCCCTCAGCAAATGTTAGTTTCCTTCCTCTCTTCCCTGTGCCCCTCTCCACTCAGTACCTAGTGAGGTGTTTTAGCCAGAACAGGCACTCAACAAAGGTTTGTAGAATGCCAAGGAAAGCTACTGATGACTTCACCCCTTGTAAACGGACAGCAGAACTAACTCTCCTCACACCACTTCAGGGCTTGATTTTTGGAGTGAGTTGAGTTTGGGTGTCTCTGTTCAAACTGGTTTTAAAAAGTTGCTGTTGTTCCTTTTAGTCCTGGATTGTCATTTAGGAAAGTGGTTCAAATGTGGAAGGAGGGCTCCCTGGAACAGAAAGTGCTGAGGAAGCAGGTTTGGGGGAGCACAACTGGTTTACCCTGGAGCCCTAGACCCCGCGGGAAGGGGTCCTCCTACAGGTACCTTGACGAGGAGGATGTTGGTTCCACTCATGCTGCCGCTCCTGTCAATGAGGAAGATAAACTCGCCATGGGCCTTTCTCAGGTTGGGCTGGACTGACTGGAGGTCAGGACAGAAGTTGAGCATGATGACAGAATGGTGGGGGATGTCCTTGTGGAGACGCTTCCGGATGATTTCTGTCTGGAGGAGAAAGGAAAACTCTCTCATTTGGGCATTCAAGGGGTCTAGAGCTGCTCCTGGGAGCTCACGCTGGTTCCCCGTTATTCACCAAGTTTTGTCAAGATGCCACTCACACTCTTGTGTGAAAGACTTCCGGTTGACGGTACCTGCTCCTCCGTTTGCTAGACTTTCGCAGGTTGCATCAGCAAACATGGACTTCGGAGGCAGAAAGACCTGGGTTTGAATCCCAGCTCTATCACCATCCAGCTGTGCGACCTTGGGCAAATCCCTCCTCTGGGTCTGTCTCTTCATTCGTAGAGTGGGGCAAACAACATCCACTTCTCAGGGTGCTCACGAGGATGAACTGAGCTGGCATGCAAATGGGAAGCTTCTGGCACACAGGCAGGCCCCCAGCTGAATAGTGGTTTCTTCCACTTTCACACCCAGTGCGGAAGCCACTCTCTGGCTCATCTTGGTTGTGAACTTGATTTTCCTGGTTTACTGATTCTCTCCTACTGATAACTTCTTACTCGTTCTTCAAACTTTACCTCTTTGGAAAACCTGCCGCAATCTTCCAGGTGGACTTAAGCACCTGGTTTTCTCACCGAGCTGTACAGATTAAATGCAATGCTTGTGCAGCCCGCTACCCGGCAGAGAGTAATTGTCTCTAAGCAGCAGCCAGCCTCGCTGTTGCTGCTGCCGCTGTTTGTCCTGGGCACCCAGGCACTCCTCACACTGCAGGTTTTGCTTGTATTTCTGCCTCCCCTCTAGCGTGTATGCTACTTGAAGGCAGGTCATGCCTGAGTTGCATCTCCAGAGCTTAGCACAGAGCCTGGTACAGAGACAGGTGCAGGAAATGCTAAAGGAAGGACAGCACCACAGTTCTTCATCCTCGTACGTGGCCTCTTATCTGCCCTCACACGCTGCCGCTGAACCCTCCTTCTTGACCCTCCCATTCACGCCGCACCAAACCTCATTTCCTCCATCCTCACTCTGCTTTTCTCTCTCTCCACTCCGACTTTCTCTCTGTGTGTCTTTTTATCTGTCTCTGCGTGTAGGTGTCTGTGTCTGTTTCTCAGTTTCTGTCTGTTTGGGTCCCTTCCCCACTTCAATAGATTACATCATCACCACCCAGGTGAAGATGATGGCATCATCATAATCAGTGATGATTGACACCTAGGTCAAACCAAAGACCTAGCACACGTCTTTGATGCCTCTCCTTTCCTCATCCCACACATCTACTCCTTCAGCAAAGGATTTCCAGTTCTACAGCTAAAATTCATCCCGCACTTGTCCTCTCCTCTCTGTCTCCACTGTCACCACCCAAGTTTAGGACAGTAGCATCGCTTGCCTAGACCTTTGCAGTAGACTCTTGCTGGCCTCTTTCCTCCACTTCAATCTCCCTGTGGTCCATTCTACATAGAGCGGCCAGCACGATCATGCTTGTCACCCTCTTGCTTAAGCCATAGATTCCCCTCGTACCTTGCACCATGATTTATAAAGCCCCCTATGGCCAACCCCCGCCTTCCTGTCCACTTCATCTTTGCCCATGTTGCTCCCTACATTTCAACCACACTAGCCACCTCTCTGTTTTCCAAACACATCACCATTATTCTGCTTCTAGTTCTCTGCACATTCTTTCCATTTTTCACTTTCTACCAGGCCTCATTCTCAGACAGGCTTGCTCTAAGCACCTAGCTGAAAGGCATCCAGAGCTTATCTGTCATTGTCATATCACCCCATTTTATTTTTTTCATGGTTCCCAGCCCTCTCTAAACTGATCTTGCTCATTTATTTACCTCTTGTCTGTGCTAGAATGTAAGCTTCATGAGGACAAGGGTGTATCATTTTCAGTGTTGCCTCCCCACTGCCCAGAACAGAGCTTGACATCTGTTGGGCACTTAGTGTTTGTTGAATGAATAAATGAGAAAATGAATCTGTGTGGGTCTTTTTGTCTGCCACTGACCTGTGTGTGAATCTTTATTTTTTCAGCCTCTCCGTCTCTATTTGTCTCTGCTTCTCTCTGTATCTCTGTCTCTTCTACATAATGTCTTCCTCTGTGTCATTTGCCCCCTCTTTGCTAAATCACAGTTTTTGACAGCTTGTCCTACCCACTCTTCCTGACTGATGTTCGCCCTCTGGATGCCAACCTCCCTCCCTGGCGAGCGATTGTGCTCTCCCTCCCACACGGAGCTCCTCTGCTGAAAGCCACTGCCCAGCCTGACTCTCCTGATGACAGAGCCAGAGGCAGCAACAGCCACATCTGCCAGCGAGAGGAGCCTCCTCCAGGAATCTGATGTTTGCCTTTTCAAGGGACGAGTGGGGCTCTGGCTCAGGATTCTCTAACGTCTCCTCAAGCCGCCACTATTCAATTACAATAAACTCGTCATTTCTTAGCAGCTTCGCGTTGATGGCTGTCATCCTTGGGGCTCATGAGAATACAGGGTATTTGCATAAACAACCCAAGGTGGCAAATTAATTCCCTTTTGCTCCAGCGCTCCCAGAGCTAATTGATTTAAGGCTTGGCAGGCAGGGGAGCTGGCCCCAGGCCTGGGAGGTCCATTGCCACCCCCTCGTTTGCCCACGTGCTGCTGTTCTCAGAGCTCAGCGGCACCCCTGGCATTGCCATCCCGGACTCTGAGAGCCTGGCCCAGCCTCTTCTTCCAACTGACTCAGGTGGGTGAGGGGCCCCTCTGGGAGGGCTGGTGTTTCTGGGGGGTCTCTAACATGGGGATGATATGATGGACACTGAGCCATCTACAGCTTCCCTTTGCCATCTCTCCCTCCCACCCCCCACTCAACAGGTGCTTCCAGTGGGGTCTGTATCAGTGAGGACAGTGTGAGCAGTAAGCTGCCTACATGTTCCTATACCCTCCCCCTCGGCCATCATCCTCGCCAGGCAGGCCAGCAGAAATGGGAGGGACCCTTCTATCCAGTGCCGCTGCCCCACAGGATCTAGTCTGAGTTCTTAGCTCCACTGTCACCAAGGCCAACCCCCAGAGAACAGTCTGCCCTTTCTCCCAGCTCACCAGTTCTTTTTCGGGGCTAAACCTCAGTTTTCTCATCTGAAAAGAGGGGACAATAAAAAGAAGGGTGTCATCATTCTTAAACCCATCTTGGCATTCAGGACCCGGCTCTGTGTGCAAGGCCACGACCAGGAGACCGTGGCCCAACTGTGCTGTCGGCTCTCCCTTCCCTCCCCCGCCTCGTTAGCCTCCAGCTTCGTGGGGGAGGGGACAAGCAGAAGGAAAGCATCTTTCTCAGGCTTTCCCTGCTCTGCCATTATTCTTGAAGTAACAGCAAACAAGGCTCCCAGAGAGAGGAAGAGCAAGAGACCCATTCAGCGGGTGGGAAAAGAGAGGTCCAGGAGTAAAGGTGAAGTTGGAAGGGCACTCGGCTGCAGGGTCCCGGGTACCCCTGCCGGGTGGTGTAGCCTAGAGAAGACCAACGTTGTTTCTGCCACCTGCCTAGAATTTCTCCTGGCTTATGCTCCTTGGAGGCACTAGGAGAAGGTGGCCTAGGAGGTGGCCCGGAGGCGGGAGGACAGCGCCAGGGTGACTGCTGCTCTGGGAGTCCACGTTCCCTCTGCCCCGCAGTGCCCCAGCCCACAGGGGGAAACATTGACGAGGATCTGCCACCAGCCCGCTGTGTGCCCTCGGGCAGGTCACCCCCCACCTCAGGCTCAGTCTCCTCATTGGTCCAGTGAAGGCCAAGTTCCCAGTGCCACCCAGTTCTGCCACCGCTGCCTCCCTGAGCCCCTCACCTTTCGCTCTGCGCTGCTGCTCTTCTTCATCCCTTTCATGAGATCTGTTCTTCCCTTCAGGTGCTGCTCAAACTCCCCCAGGGTCATGTCCCCTTTCTCCAGCAGGACATGTGGAATGTGGGGCTCTGCAGAGACCAGATCAGCTCTTGGCGCTTGTCCGAGGGTGAGGGTGAGCCAGCCAGGGCCTTAGTTTAGGGCTGGGATCCAGTTGAGTGGGGAGGACTCCTCACTGGAAGAGGGGAGCCTGAAGCAGTGGGGGGCCGTGGGAAGACTCCTTAGCTGGGAAGCAGGAGAGCCTAGTGGCCATGGGGGCCTCATGGCCCTCTCTGGGCCTCAGTTTACCCACATGTGCAATGGGAGTGGGACTGGGCTCCCTGTTCTTTTCAGGTCCTGACATTCTATCAAATCCTAAAGAAATAAAAGAGTTGCTCCCTGAAGGTTCAGAGCTCCCAGGGCCTCACTGAGCTTAGGGTTTCAGAGATCCTTTGCTCAACCGGCCTGGGGGGAAAGCGTTCCCATGGGTGGATGAGACCCCAGGGCCTCTGGAGCTAGAATGGGGGCAGGAGACACTCGATTCTGCCAGCTAGAGCCAAGTTTCCCAGGAGGCAGGCAGCTGGTCTCCTCTCCTCTCCTGGGCACTCCGATCCTCTCCCCGGCTGGCCACTGGGCAAAGGGCCACAGGTCTGTGCCCACAGGAGCAGTACCTCCTCCCTCCCGCAGGCGTCCCAGGGGCCCCGCCTGGTGCACAGTACCGCTGGGGTGGATGAGGATCTCCACGGGCCGGTCGAAGGTGTGCCTGTTGGCCAGCGTGATAATGATGCTCTTGGCCGAGCGTGCAGACGGGGCGGCATCAGCTCGGATCTCGTGGGTGGGACTCTCCACCCCTGAGTGGTACAAGAAGACAGGATAGATTCAGAAGCTCCAGGAGAGACAGGGGCTCGATGGGAGACCCTGAGACCCGGGCCAGAGGTGCCTGGCACTCCAGCCGTCTCAGGGGCTCCTGAACTGCTGTGTAACCATGGACGGGCCTCCTCAGTTTCCCCATCTGCCGGACGGGGGCTTAGGTGGTGTCAAGTGGTCCTTTCTGCCCTGATCTCAGGATCCGGGGGGGTCAAAGGTGTTGCTTCCTCATAGGGACCATAAAGATAGAAAGAGCTCACGCCCCATCAGTGGGCGCTCCATAAACGCCTCTCGTGTGGAACGTCATGATGCTCTGGGAGAACACTCCTTGACAAGAAACCACATCTTAGCGTCCTTTTAAAATCTTGAGTGAATTGGGGAAGGGAATCATCAGAACAATGGTTCCTGACACACTTGGTTTTTATTTAGAAAATTAAGAATAGATCTACCATATGATCCAGCTATCCCACTGCTGGGTATTTATCCAAAGAACTTGAAAACACATAAGCATAAAGATACCTGCACCCCTATGTTCAGTGAAGCATTATTCACAATAGCCAAGACTTGGAAGCAACCTAGGTGCCCATCAAGGGACGAATGGATAAAGAAGATGTGGTATATGTACACAACGGAATATTACTCAGTTATAAGAGATGATGAAATCCGGCCATTTGTGACAACATGGATGGTCCTTGAGGGTATTATGCTGAGTGAAATAAGTCAGAGGGAGAAAGTCAAATACCGTATGATCTCACTCATAAGTAGAAGATAAAAACAACGACAAACAAACGCATAGCAATGGAGATTGGATTGGTGGTTACCAGAGGGGAAGGGGGGAGCGCAAAAGGGGTGAGTAGGCTCACATGTGAGGGGGTGGACTATAATTAGTTTTTGGGTGGTGAACATGATGTCATTGACACAGGTTTCAAATCTGAAAGCTATATAATGTTATAATCCAATGTTACTGCAATTAAAAAAAATAAAAAATTAAAAAAAAAAGGAGAAGAATGATGGTTCCCAACTCTGGCTGCATGTTAGAATCTCCTGGGAGCTTTTGAATAAATACCCAGGACACCCCCTAGACTGACGTCATCAGAAATTCTGGGGTGGGGTCCAGGTGGCAGGATTTTGAAAGCTCCCCAGATGGCTCTGCTCTGCAAGACGAGAACCAGGAGGCAGGTTATGGCTGTGGCCTCTGGGAGAGGACCAAGAACCACTGTGGCCCCATGCACGTTTCCCCAAGGAAGCCACTGAGGTTGAGATGGGGACAGCCTTGAAACCTGTCTTGAGAGGGGCTCATCTTTGGTCTGTGTGATGGGGAGCAGGAAATGGGGGTCCATAAAGCTCTGTGTGCTTCAGGTTATCTTCCTTCTGGGCTGGCCAGCTTCTCCGCCTGCCCCTTCCTCTCTATCGCCAGCAGCTTTGGGCCTGAAGCTCTCCCCACCCTGGGGCCATGAGTCTTCTTTCTGGCCCCCATCTGGGTTTGCGCAGCTCCCTCTCACCTGCGAGCAGGCACGGCCCACGGATCTCCAGCTGGAAGTTGAACTCATATTCCATGGGGTTGGACACATCGGTGTCCAGGAGAGTTGCCAGGCACAGCTTGTTCCAGGGGTCCGGGGCCTGGGTCCCGAAGCAATGCCTGTCTTTGCTGGGAAGGGGGTCGAGAGGAGGAGAAGGAGGCGGGCAGCCAGGCCCGAGGCAGGGGGCCAGCACGAGAAGACATGGAGAGGACGGTGAGTCCCAGGCAGCCCAGGCACCCTGCAGCCCAGACCACAAGGGGCTGCAGAGGTTCCTCCTGCCCAGACCCTTCCTCTCCCCCGAACCAGACCCCGTGGAGAGCCTGGGATCAGACATAAGGCACAGTTACGTAGGAAGGATGGGCCAGGTGCTAGGCACAGTGCTGTACAGCGCCAGCTCAAATTGCTCCCACCATGAGCCCCAGAAGAGGCACGAGGGGTCCAACTCGCCATCTCCCACACGCGGACACTGAGGCTTAGGGAGACGAGGTGACCAGTCTAGGTTCCCACCACCAGGAGCTGGCAGAGCTTGCATCCTCACCCGGGTCTGTCTGTGATGCGCTGCAGCCCACCACTTCCTGAGTCCCTGCTCTGTCTCTGTGAGCTGGGAGCCCCTGCTCAAGCCCGTCTCCTCTAAGTCTCGGTTTTCTCATCCATTAAATGGGATAATAGCAACACAGCTGTCTTGAGTGAGGCTTAGCAAAGTCTGTCACCTGCTGAAGGCTTGTTTCTGGGCCCTCTTTCTGTGTCATCCCCCACTCTGTCTCTGCTCCCTTCACCTCCCCTCCACAGTCACACCCTCTAAGGTCTTTGATATATATCCTTAAATATGCGCGTATCCTTGTAAAATAGACGGTGGCATTTGGTCGCGAATGTGTTTTAAACTGAAAAGACTGCACCATATTATGAATCTCATTCAATCGCTTCCTCTTCTTGACTCAACGCTGTGCTTTTAAGCTCTGTCCAGGGGGGCTGTCTGCAAACCGAGCCTTTGCTGTGCCCGTGGTACCGCTCAGGGGCATCCGTACATTGCACTGATTTGTTCCCAGCTCCACCTGCCCGTGTCCACAGATACCGCACCGTGGAGAGCCTCCCCTGCGTCCCCTTGGACTTATGAAGGGATTCTCTGGGATCCCCTGGTCACAGGGCACGCACGGAGGGTTGTCAGATTGCTTTCCAGGGTGGCTGTCCCACTTTCCACTCCCACCAGCAGCCAACAAATCTCCTTCTCGCCTCGTCCTTGCTAACACTTGGCATTCTCTGTTTTTCTTATTTTCTTTGTGTCGCTCTATCTGAGTAGCTTTCAGGTTTGTAGGGATTTGACGCAAGCTTCTCCCAAGAGCACTTCTGTTAGCTCCGCCCACAGGAACGGGCAGGAATGAGCTTATCTGGGCCCCTTCAGGGGCACCAGGGCCTCCTGGGCATCTTATTCCCTGATCCACCAAAATCATTTTTTTTTTTTTTGAGGAACATTAGCCTTGAATTAACATCTGCCAATCCTCCTCTTTTTGCTGAGGAAGACTGGCCCTGAGCTAACGTCTGTGCCCACCTTCCTCTACTTTATATATGGGACGCCTACCACAGCATGGCGTGCCAAGAGGTGCCATGTCCGCACCCGGGATCCGAACCAGCAAACCCCAGGCTGTGGAGAAGCGGAACATGCGAACTTAACCGCTGTGCCACCCGGCCGGCCCCTCCACCAAAATCTTGAATGTCCCCAGCTTTGTTAGGCCCTGCCTCTCAAATGCACAAGGCTTGGCGCCCACGGCAGCACTTACAGAGATGACACCCAAGGTGGGTGCTCCCTGGTCTGAGATTGTGCTGCCAGCTTCTCTGTTGTGCCAACAAATGTTTTCACCCTAGACTTCAGGGTCCTACATGATCTCACTCCCCACCACCTCTCTGACCTCTCTCCTTCCCTCCCCACTCTGCTATCACTACACTAGCCTTCCTGCTGCTCCTCAAGCACACCAAGCCTGCTGCTGCCTCAGGGCCTTTGCACTTCCTGCTCCCTCTGCCCTCTGCCCAGAATGTTCTTCCTTCAGAATATTTCCTTGGCTTGCTGCCTTCATTCACATTAGGTCACACACGTTGCCTAAGCCATGTCTATTCCAGCTAAAATAGCACCCACCCCACCCTGTCCCTCTCTAACCTCTGTAGCACTGATCTTCACAGAACTCATCATCTAGCCTATTACACGTTTATGGCTTATTTCTTTACTGTCTGTCTCCCGCCATTAGAACGCCAGCCCCTTATGGGCAGGGACCTTATCTGTCTAGCTGCCTGCTGTGTTCCCAGCACCCAAACAGTGCCAGGCACAGAGTAGGTGTTAGATTATTATTCATGGAGACCAAGGAGCACCCTCCAGGCTGGCCTCTCATGGGAGGCTGCAATAACCCCTCCCCACTCAGCTCGGCCTGCGGTCAGTGTTTTAGCCGGTGGTGTCCAGGAGTTTGCTGACCTGTCCTGTGTCCTGGTGGCCTCTGCTCCCAGCTGTCCCCGGAGCCATACCCATGTGTGTATGAAACTCCTGGAGACACGTGGCCCATCTTACCAGATTTCAACTTGGCTCAAAGATTTGGGGTGAGAGTTGGGGTCGGGGGAGCTAAGTAGTTTAACTAGCAATTAATTTCAAGTGTTATTTTTATACCCAAATGGCACTAAGATACTGTGGAATAGATTTTAAAAATTCACGTGAAAGAGAAAATACAAGACTAGAAAAGACATCCCCCGCGTGTAGCAGGCTACTTAAAGATGTCGTCCTTGCTCCCTGCACAGGAAAGCTCATTTTCCTCTGTCCTCAGACGAGGAGATGGGAGGAGCCCTGATCTCAGCTGCAGGCACCTCAGAGGACCACAGAGAAGTCATCCTGGGACTGGGTTTGCTGTCTTCCCCGCCCTGCCCTGATGAAAACTTTTTTAAGGGCTCCTTGTTGCTTTTGGGAGAAATTCAAAGTCTGCTGGGGCCACAGTGCGACCTGCATCTCTGCAGCCTCATCTCATGCCACCTGTGCTTCAGTTCCTCTCTGGGACCCTGTCCTTGCTACCTCAGGGCCTTTGCTCATGCTGTTCTCGCCGACAGGAATGCTCGTCTCTGTGCCTACATCCCCCTCATCGCTCAGCTCTCAGCTGAAATTCCAGTCCTCAAAGAAGCCTGGCCGGGGCCCCCTTTTATTCTCTTAGCCCAAGGAACTTCTCCTGCACGGCGCTTTTCGCGTCATTAATTCCGCACGCGAGTACGTCAATAGTCCCACATTAGCTGTGTTGTTAGGTGGATGATGATCTCTCCCACCAAGCTCCGAGAAGGTGGGAGCCGTGTTAGTTTCGTGCCCTCTGTCTCCCTAACACTTGGCCCAGTGCCCAGCATGTGGTAGCGCTCGGAAAACGCCTCTGGAGAGCCTTAGGGAATAAAGCTTGGAAATTCTGGTGCCAGGCTGCCGGATCCCAGCACTTCTGGCCGGTAGCAGCACAGGGCATTTCAGGGAGAGTCTTCAAGGCGAGCAGGGGAGGAGCGGTAATTCAGACAGTGGCCCCTGTAGCCCTGAGCCTTACCTTCTGCTCCCCGTCTCCCCACCCTGCACTCCCATGACTTGACCTGGCCGGTCCCTGCAGCCCACTGAGACTGCATGCTCATCCGGCAGGGGGCCCTTACCCGGCGGCCTGTTGGTTGGAGGAGCCAGTGCTCTCGGTGCAGAACTGGGGCACGGTCGGGGCGCAGACAGCAGGCAGGAGGACCCGCACAGCCCCGCTGGGCAGCGTCGGGAGCTCCGACGAGGTGCTGACGAAGATGGTGACGTTCTCCATGGGGGCGATGGTCCCCAGGTTGACCACGAACAGGATCCGCTCCAAATCCTCATCCAAAGCCACCTTTCCCGGTGTGAAGGAACGAGGGGTGACGGACACCCCCTCTTGCGGACTGTTTCCTAAGTGCCAGGCCTGGAGTCAGGGGCTGTGCATCTATCATGTCTAGTCCCCTCTAATTGCTGTGTGGCAGCTTTGAGGAGCTCATTTTGCCGATGGGGAAACTGAGGCTCAGCATGGGGGTGCCACTTGCCCAAGTGACTTGACGAATAACTAACTCATTGAACCAGGATCTGAATCCATGGGGGTCTGAAGCCAGATTCGTGTCCCTCCCACTGTGCCCTGCTGTGAGTGGGAGACGTGGACCCACATGGCCCCGACAGAGGGCCACATCTCTGCCCGCAGACTCTCCTTCCACCGGCATCCCATCCAAACGCCCCCTGCCTTTGGGATCCATGTTTTGCTCCTGCGCTCCCCTTCCACCTGAAAGGCCCACTCCCCCATCCCTACTTAGCCAGTCTTGCCCTTCCCTCCAGCCCCTCCAGAAAACTCCCTGGTCCCTGGTCCAGACCCCTCTTTCCCTCCTCTGACATTACCCAGGCCTCTTTCGGCACAGCCGCTTCCCGCCTCCCATCGTGGTTCCTCCCACCATGTCCCGGCACTGTTCCCCAGGCTGTGAGCAGTCATAACGGCTTGAGGGCAACTCTAATCTTACACGTGGTGAATGCCCATTAGAAGATTCTTGATCATCTTAATGATCAGGTGAACAAACTTCACCTTGATCACAGATCCAAAGTAGGAATCTGCTACATTATATGATACTTGGTCTGGATTCAAGCCCTGGGTCTGCCACTAACATGCTGTGTGACCTTAGGCCAGTCACTCACCCTCTCTGAGCCTCAGTCGCCTCAATAGTGGGCATCAGTAGTTGTTATTTGAGTACTTACTCTGCACCAGGGACTGCGATGAGTGCTCTGCAGACATGTTCTCTGTTGAGCATTGGGTGCGTATAATTGTTAGTTCCATTTTACAGATAAGGCTTAATTTCTTATCCAAGCTCACACCATTTGCAAGCAATAGGACAGGGAGTCAAACTCAGGTGTGACTCACTCCACAACTTCTGGGTTTAAATGACATGCTGTTCTTTTGTTTAGAGACATCTTAAAAACCCTTTTGTTGCCTTCTTTGGTCATTACCATGCTTTTGAGGTGAGAACAAGAACAGTTATCTCTATTTCACAGACATTAAAGTGAGATCAGAGAGGTTAATTATTGGCCTGAGGTCACACAGGATTCCTGACTCCTAGTTTAGTGCTCTCTCTACCCTATCCCATTGTTGCCCTTTCCGTCTGCCTGAGACCCCAGCCAGGCCCAGGCGCTGCCACAGCCCTTCCAGCCTCCTTACCTGTGACAGTTGTGGTTCGGATGCGGTTGGCATCGAAGTGGCCACTCTCCATCTTGGCTTTGTCCTTGATCTGTACCGTCACGACACGGTCGGCAATGACGGCCTCAAAGCCGATCACCGTGGTGTACTCATCCAGTGGATACACAAAGAGGCCTGCCAGAGCAGGGCCCAGCATCGCGGGGTGCCCGGGCCCACTCCGCATGCCCCGCCCTGGGAGGGAACCCGAGCCTTTGGCCTGCCAAAGGGCGGTGTCACTGCCAGTCAGAGGATGCCTGAGAGCACCAGGCTGGGACCTCATGGCTCTGGGGCCGAGCAGATGCTGTGCGAACATCGGGGCGACTAGAAAAGAGACAGCTGCTCCCCTGTCCCGCCAGCTTACTCTGCAGGCACGAGGATGCCGTGGCCAGGCCTTCTGATTTGCCAAGAGAGAGTGGAAATCCGGATTTTATGTGACCTGCTGTGTGAGCCTAATAAGACACATGTGTGTGGTGTGGCGTCTAGGAGCTGGGGCCTCGGAGGAGGTAGACCAGGTTCTAATCTGGGCTCTGCACCCTTCCCTGGCCTGGTGACCTTGCATAGGACATTCAGCTTCTCTAAGCCTCACAGCTCCATCTGTAAAATGGGAATAATAGGGCCAAACTCATAGAGTCGTCACGGAAAGTGAAGAAATAGCCACCATGTGTTAAGCTATGTGCCCCAGAGTGTGTGCCCCACATTTTTATACCTTAGTGCTTCTCAAACTCTAAAAGCCTGGGAGTCTTGTGAAAATGCAGATTCTGATTCAGTAGTTCTGGGGTGGGGTCTGAGAGTCTGCATTTCTAACCAGCTCCTGAGTGATGCCGATGGCTCGGGTGCCACACTTGGAGGATCAAGGTCATATCTTGTTTAATCTGCCCACAGACACTGGGATGGCACAGTGCTGGGCCCATGACAAGCCCCCCACAAACCTCGGCTTCCGGCCCCTCTGAGCCTCAGTTTCCTCCTCTGTAAAATGGGGGACCTAGGGACCTGGTCCTGTGGCCAAGTGGTTAAAGTTCTGTGCACTCTGCTTTGGTGGCCCGGGTTCGCAGGTTTGGATCCTGGGCGTGGACCTGCTCCACTCACCAGCCATGCCAGGCGTGTTAGCAATGGATGTTAGCTCAGGGCGAATCTTCCTCAGCTCAAAAAAACAAAAAACAAAGAAACCGCGAAGGGACTGGCTCTTTCTGCATGCGGAAAACCACCGGCCTGTCCCAAAGCTGTTGAGTAATTTAGTCTCCTGGGCCCCCAGTGGGTCCTATTTCAAGCCACCCTTTCCAGGTTTCCTTAGACAGAGGAACGGGGTCATTGACTCCACCCGGGAGACTTCTGAAGGGAAGAAACTTTCCCTGCGGGGTCCTTTTAGGAATTGAAATGGCTTCAGGACCTCAGGTTGGGCTGGAGGGTGGTGCCCCAAGACATGTAGCTTGGGGGTTGGGAGGCCCCGTCACTGTGGATGAGAAGGAATCCAGCCATACAACCTTTATAGGGCAGCTTCCCAGCCAGCCTTCCTGTAACTCCCTCCCTTGGGGGGAAGGAGAGGAATTTACAAAGAACTCTCGAAGGCAAAGCTCCCTCCTACTCCTGACTGCCCCACATTGATGATTGTATTCGCAGAGTGTTTTCCACTCCACCTGGTCCTTTCTCGGGCGTTACCTCATCTGCTCCTCCCGTAAACCCCGGCCCCCAGACAGGCAGAGGAGCATCCTGATTTTGAGAAGGACAGTGGCTTCCCCCAAGGTCACAGGGACAAGAGCCACGCCTAGGACTGGGAGCTCTGGGCTTCCACTGAGCCTTGCTGCTCTCCTGCTGGGAGGCTCCCTGGAGAAAGTGGAGCGCTGACCTTTGACACGGTGGGAGGGCTTTGTGGGAGGTAAGTTGTGCTGGGACCCTTGGGGGGGGCTGAGCCCAAACCTGGGCTCGACCTGACCCAACTTGCTGCTAGCTTTGAGGCCTGCAGGGCAGAATGGCATCCTTATTTTACAGATGAGGAAACTGAGACTCAGAGAGGTTATATGACCCACCCATGCCAGCCGCTGGTACATGTCAGGATGAGGATTCAACGTGGAGTGGGGGGTGGCCCTGGGGAAGCCCAACAGGGGTCCTTACCCTGGAAGGGCTGGGCTTCCAGGTTGCCATAGGTGAGGGAGGCGGTCAGACCCAGGGCGTAACCACTGACAAAGGAGGTGACATCGGACGCGGTGAGGGGCAGGGCTGCCCCCGTGATCTGGTTCAGTAGACCCGGCATCCCGCTGGATACTCAGCCTTCAGGGCCTGCGAGAGACAGGAAGGGAGGAAGTGGGCAGAGGCTGCCCACCCCTCCCCACCCCAGCTCTCCCACTTCAGACCCCACAGACAGGCAGGGCATCATTCGCTTCATTTCCCCAAGAACTTCCAGTTAGTGACCCATGATAACTCTCAACCATCCCCGAGAAGAGAAGTGGTCATCTCATTTCTTCCCATTTCATAGTAGAGAAACTGAGGCCTGAAGACACGTGACCTGCCTGGATTCACTCAACAGGTTGGAGCACAGTCAGGGCCAGAGCCCAAGCAGGCTCACATCCAACCTGGGATTCCCCGAGATAGACAGTGCTCTCCTAACCCCAGAAGGGTCCGGGGACTAGGGCTCTGACCCATCCCTCTGTCAGGTCTATAATCTCCGAGCTGGCGATGCTTCCTGTGCAAAGTGAGGGGATTGGAATAGCTCACCAACACTCTCCTCTGACTCCATGAATCTACCCCTTCCAGTCAGCACTCCAATTGTGAGGGGTGTGGGGGTACCCCAGAGAAATACGGGTGTACTTCCTTTCACTGCCTTTCGCTTTATGGCACTTCCCAGGGACTGCGTTTTCTACAAGTTGAAGGTTTGCGGCAACCTCACGTCGAGCGAGTCTATCGGGGCCATTTTCCCAACAGCATTTGCTCACTTCGTGTCTCTGTGTCACATTTTGGTAATTCTCGCAGTATGTCAAACTTTTTCATTATTATTCTCTTTGTTATGGTGATGTGTGATCAGTGATCTTTGTTGTTACTCTTGTAGTTGCTTTGGGGCACCGCGAACCACTCCCATATAAGATGGTGAGCTTAATCAATAAATGCTGTGTGCGCTCTGACTGCTCCACTGACGAGCCATTCCCATCTCTCCCCCTCCCTCGGGCTTCCCTGTGTCCTGAGACACGACAATATTGAAATCAGGCCAATTAATAACCTACAAGGGCCTCTGTGTTCAAGTGAAAGGAAGAGTCACACGTGTCTCACTTTAAATCAAAAGCTAGAAATGATTAAGCTCAGTGAGGAAGGCGTGTCGGAAGCTGAGATAGCCTCAAAGCCAGGCCTCTGATGCCAAACAGTCAGCCAAGTTGTGAAGGCAAAGGAAAAGTTCTTGAAGGAATTAAAAGTGCTACTCCAGTGAACACACAAATGACGAGAAAGTGAAACAGCCTTGTTGCTGCGGCGCAGAAAGTTTGAGTGGGCTGGATGGAAGATCCAACCAGCCACGATGTTCCCTTAAACCAAAAGCCTGATCCAGAGCAAGGCCTGAGCTCTCTCCAATTCTGTGAAGGGTGAGAGCTGAGGAAGCTGCAGAAGCAAAGGCTGAAGCCAGCAGACGTTGGTTCATGCGTTTTAAGGAAAGAAGTGTCTCCATTACATAAAAGTGCAGGGGAAGCAGGAAGTGCTGATGGAGAAGCTGCAGCGAGTTCTCCAGAAGATCTAGCTACGACCGTTAATGAAGGGGCTACAGTGAACAACAGGTTTTCAATGTAGACGAAACAGCTTTATACTGAAAGAAGATGCCATCTAGAACTTTCATAGCTAGAGGGGAGAGGTCAACGCCTGGCTTCAAAGCTTCAAAGGACAGGCTGACTCTCTCGTTAGGGGCTTATGCAGCTGGTGACTTTAAGTTGAAGCCGGTGCTCATTTACCATTCAGAAAATTCTAGAGCCCTTAAGAATGATGCTAAATCTATTCTACCTGTGTTCTATAAATGGAACAACAAAGCCCAGATGACAGCACATCTCTTTACAGCATGGTTTCCTGAATATTTTAAGCCCACTGTTGAGACCTACTGCTCTGATAAAAAGATCCCTTTCAAAATATGACTGTTAATTGACAATGACCCGGTCACCCGGGAGCTCTGACGGAGATGCACAACGAGATTAGTGTTTTCTTGCCGGCTAACACAACATCCATTCTGCAGCCCATGGAGCAGGGGGTAATTTTGACTTTCATGGATTGTTATTTAAGAAACACATTTCATAAGGCCATAGCTGTCATACAGAGTGATTCCTCTGATGGATCTGGGCAAAGTAAAGCGATCAAAACATCAACATTAGCAGGAGTTTGGAAGAGGTTGATTCCAACCTTCATGGATGACTTTGAGGGGTTCAAGACTTCTGAGGAGGAAGTCCCTGCAGATGTCGGGGAAACAGCAAGAGAACTAGAATTAGAGGTGGAGCCTGAAGTCCGGGCTGAACTGCTGCCACCTCATGATAAAGCTTTAATGGATGAGGAGTTGCTTCTCCCGGATGAGCAAAGAAAGTGGCTTCTTGAGAGGGAGCCTACTCCTGGTGAGGATGCCGTGAAGACTGTTGAAATGACAACAAAGGATTCAGAATAGTGTATAAACTTAGCGGATAAAGCAGAGGCAGAGTTGGAAAGGATTGATTCCACCGTTGAAAGAAGTTCTTCTGTGGGTAAAATGCCGTCAAACGGCGTCACATGCTACTGAGACATTGTTCGTGAAAGGAAGAGTCAGTCGATGTGGCAAACTTCAACTTGTCTTATTTTAAGAAATTGCCGCAGCCGCCCCGTCCTTCAGCAAACACCACCCTGATCAGTCAGCAGCTGTCAACATCGAGGCAAGAACCTCCACCAGCAAAAGATTACGACTTGCTGAAGGCTCAGATGACGGTTAGCGTTTTTTGGCAATAAAGCATTTTTTAATTAAGGTATATACATTGTTTTTTAAAGATATAATGCTATTGCACACTTAACAGACTACAGTATAGAGTAAACATAACTTTTATATGCACTGGGAAACCAAAAAATTCGTGTGACTTGCTTTATTGCGATATTCACTTTATTGTGGTGGCCTGGAACCAAACCCACAGTATCTCTGAGGTACGCCTGTACCAAAGGGAGGAGAGCCACCATCCCTCCAAGTGTGCAGGCCAAAAGCCTGGGAGGCATTCCTGGCAGCTCTTTTTCCCCACTCCCAACACCCAATCCATCACCACAGCTTGTGATTTATCTCTGGAAAAGCCCTGGCATCCATCCATGTCTTTCCTTCTCTGCCACCAGCATCTTTGTCCAAACCACCAGCATCTCTACCTGGACCACAGCTCCTCATTGGTCTTTTGAATCTACGCTCCTCCCTCACTGGAACCCATTCTCTATTCAGTGGCAGATGAACATAGCAACCCAGAAGTTGGACAGGTCTCCACCCGCTACCAGCGGTTTCCCGTTGCTTGTAGGATAGAGAGCAAAGCCCTTAAGATGGCCTAGGGCCCTGTGTGGCCCGGCCCTGCTGGCCTCTCCAGCTCATCCCTCCCCATGTTCCCAGACATGCTGTGGATCTCCCAGCTTCCATTGCATTCCTCAGCATGTCATGTGCTCTCCCACCTTTATATTGCCACCTGGAATGCTCACTACAACACACTTTCAAACTCACAACCTCCTGCTGGTCCTTCCGTGTCAACTCAGGGTCGCCCTTGCAGGGAAGCGAGACCACCTGCGTCCAGCGTCCTTCATCTGCCTCGCACAGAACCGAGTTTCTCTCCCTCAGAATACTCCTGTCAGTTTGTAGGGATACGTTTTGTCTCTGTGAGATTATTCTGTTGTTGTCTGTCATCCCCTTTAGAGTGTATGCTCCTGGAGGGCACGGGGCCATGTCTATTTTGCTTGCCCTTGTAGCATCAACACTGATTAAATGAATGAAAGAACGGATGGCTGTCATCACTCCAACATGAAGACTCATAGCACTTCTCAGGGCAACGTATCCATTATCTGTGAGGCTCCTGAGACCCTTCCAGGTAATCATTGTCCTTGAGGGGTTGGGTAGGGATGGGAAGTGAAGTGAAACAAAGAGTGTGGAATACAAATCTGAGGTCAGATTCTCTCGGGGTTTTCCTTCTGTGGTGTATGAGCCAGGCTAGGCTGCCATGGGCTGGTAGCCTGTTGCCGTGTATTTGCAAGGCTGTTCAATGAATGCCGATTACTCTGCCTTTTCTCAAAGAAGGGAACCCTTTCCCTCTAGGTTCTCCTCGTGTCCCCTCCAGGATCCTCAGATGCTTCTGCCCTCTCTGTCAGGCCAGCAGCGTCTTTTTAATTATGTTCTCCCTGGTGGCTCCAGCCCAGACGGCTCTCAGTCCTGGCTTATCTGTGCCAGGCTGATTGACAGCAGGCGGCAGATAAGGAGCCAGGAGGGAGCTGTTGTATCCCCAGCCGCCTTCTCTCAGGAGCTCTCTGTCCTGGAGGCCCGAGCAAAGGCTGGCGACTCTCGGGGGCAGAACAAGATGGCGGAGTTCATTTCCTGATCCACGTCTCCTGCCACCCACGCTCCCTCCCTCCTCCTTTTCCTGGTTTGCTCTTGGCCAGAATGCTAATTGGGGAACGCAGCTTCAGGGAACCAGCACCCAGATGTGTGGCAAACTTGGACTTAAGCTCCAGTCCATCTTGGGGTGGAGTTTTGCCAAGGGCATCTTATCTAATCCAGTCTCCCCACACTGCCTTGGTGCCCACCCCAGGCTTCCTAGAGAGGCCCCTCGCCCAGGGAGTGGGGCTTGGGTGAGCAATATTGGTAACATGGGGCAGATTCACTCAGAACTGACACTTTAACAATCAGCTCTCTTGGGAAGAATAAACTTGAAATTCTTTGGGGCCTAATTTAATGCATATCTTCATCAATTCACCCAGCACTGATAAGCACCAACTGTATTCCAGGCCCTGAATTAGCCACTGGAGATCCAAAGATAAGATGCAGCTCTGTCCTAAAAGAGCTTACACTCTAGCGGCAGAGGAGGTCGGGGAGTGGGGGAAGATGGTAACTGCAGCTGGAATTTATTGAATATCGAAATTGTGCCAGGCATATATATTATCTCACTTAATCCCGCAACCACCTTATAAGGTGCACTGTTGCTTTGCAGTTGACAACATCGAGGCCTCAAGAGAGATGTGTTTGGTTTTGCACATGAGTTTGGGGTGCCTGAAGGACAGGGGTACAATGGATGCTTGTGTATGACTTTCTCCTGGGAGGAGCCCAGGGCCATCCCTGT